GGGGCCTACATGCCCCGCACCACTCCGTTGGTCTCCATGTCTGTGAGGTTGCCCCGCAAGTTCTGCTCCTCCTCGAAAGCCTTGAACAGGGCGTTGAAGTTGCCGGCTCCAAAACCCTGCAGCAGGAGAGAGGAGATGAGTGGTTGGCGCGTCCAAGAGGGCCAACCAGGTTACCCACCTGCACGCTGGGGCAGGTGGCACCCACCTGGTGGTTGTGGCGCTGAATGACCTCCAGGAAGAGCGTGGGCCGGTCCTGCATGGGCTTGGTGAAGATCTGCAGGAGGTAGCCTTTCTCGTCGTAGTCCACCAAGATTTTCAGCTCCTAGGTGGGAGACGGGGGGCTGTGTTAGGGGAAGGCCGACCCGCCCCTCTAGCCTGGCACCGTGGGATCCTTAGAAAGTCCATAGGAAGGGGCTCCTGCGCCCCCTGGGCCAAGGGAAGACCTGTTTCTCCAGCAGTTCCAGGCAGCTCAAAACAGATCCCCAAATTGTCCTATCACCATACACCTGCATCACCCTAGTAGCCTCCACAGAGGTCTCCCTGCTTTTCTGCTCTTGCCTCTTTACAATCCATCTTCCCCACGGACACAGAGGGATCTTATAAAAATCAGGTCACGCTGCCCCGCCGGCGTGGCTCAGCGGTTGAGCATCAACCTAGGATCCAGGAGATCTGGGTTGGATTCCCAGTCAGGGCACATGCGGGGGATTCAGGCCCGGTCCCCAGCAGGGGGCGTGCAGGAGGCAGCTGGTCAATGACTCATCACTGACGCTTCTATCTCTCCCTCTCCCTTCCTCTCTCTGAAATGAATACAGACATATTAAAATAAAATAAAAATCAGATCATGCCATTCCCTGCTTAAAACTCTCCAGTGGAAATTGGAACTCGTACACAAATGACCATAGCAGCATTACTCATAGCAGCCAAAAAGTAGAAACAGCCCAAAGAGTCATCAGCTAATACATGGATCAGCAAAATGGAATATTACTCAGCCCTAAAAAGGGACGGACCATTGATACATGCCACAGCGTGGATGAACCTTGCAAACATGACGCTGAGTGAAAGAAGCCAGGCACAAAAGATCACATACTGGTCTGTTTCCCCTCTGAGTCCCGGTGCCTGCTGCAGGGGAGGCCTTTGGACAAAATGTGTGCAGCAGGTTGGAACTCCGCGCACTCTGCCAGCTGACCGAGGAGCCTGCTGTAGCCTCACCTCCAGGGTATCGATGCTCTCCTTCACCCGGATCTTGGCCAACTTGAGCTTCTCTCGAAGTTGCTTGTAGTACGTGGATGGAACATCCAGAAATTCCATGCCTCTCTCTCGCAAGTGGCGAATCTGTTTGAGAGCAGGGTCACGGTCAGCCTCCTCTCTCCATGCTCAGCACCCCTAGCCGGGTGGGGGTGCTGGGCCAGGAGGAGGCAGGGTCCCTATCCTAGCTCCCCCAAACTGCTGAGGTGTGCTGTGAGCTCATCCCCTGCCTCCTCGGGGCCTCGTGGGCCATCAGTAACATTTATGGGATGCTCCCCCAAACTGCCTGTCTCAAGCTCTTTCTATGTGTTGCTTTGTTATGTCCTTGTAGTGACCTTCTGAGGCGCTGGGATGATATTATCCCCATTGCATAGCTGGGTGAAACTGAGGCACTGAGAGACTAAGTATCTATTCTCAACGTCATAACCAGAGTGCCACCCCCCTCCCATTTTGCAGAGGTTGGCTCTGGAGCTGAGTGGAAGGCGAGTCAGGGCCAGGGATGGGCTTCTAACCGCTGTGATGATGTCTTGGGTCTTGAGAGCGATGTGCTGGACCCCAGCGCCCCCGTTATAGTCCACGTATTCCTGCGGGAAGGCAGCAAGGACACACCCCCGTCATTGGCCCGGTCACCGCGAGAGCCCTCAAACCTCCCCCCTGCTTCCTTCTTGCCCAGGACGGCCCCACCTGGATCTGCGACTTCTTCCTGCCTGGCGCGGGCTCGTTGATGGGCATCTTGATGGATTCCTCGTAATTGGCCACCACGATGGAGCGCAGGGAGCTATACTCCGTGTGCACCTGCGTGTCATCCACGGACCAGAAGCGGTGGAACTGCAGGTTATTCAGGTACCTGTGGGGTGGCCGGGAGGGCACGTTGGCGCTGGGACGGGCCCCGGGCCCCTCTTCCACCTTCCAGAATTGTCTCCTGAGCAGGCTCCAAAGGCGAACCGAACTTGCTTCTAATTTGCACAAGGGTGCTGTTTGGGTGGTGACAGTCTTCCTCCCAGCCCCCACCTGTGGGTCGCTTTGGACCTTAAATCCTCTGGTCTCCATGGGGACAATTTTATGGGGAACAGGTGAATGGGGGGCCTCAAGCTGACTTCCTACCCCCTGGTGCCCTGTTTCCCACTGTGGCGCCCTGGGACAAGAAGAACTGGGTGGTGAGCCTTTGCAGGGAGGGCCTGGGCCAGGGACTCACCATTCCGAGGCAGACAGCATCTCCTGATCAGGCTGGTTTCCCACGATGTGGTCGATGACCTCGAGGTTGCTCTGGGGTCTGGGAGAGGGATTCGGTTAAGGGGTGAGAAAGTTATTCCCTAAATCGATCCCCCTTCCCACTGGCCCCTCAATAGCAATAACAATAATAGCTCATTGTTAAGTAGCCCCGACTAGACCCATTTCACAGATGAAGAGACTTAGGTGCAGAGAAACAAAGCACCTGGCCAAGGTTAAGTAGCCGCGAAGTAACAGAGCTGGGGTTTGGACCCAGCAGTCTGGTCCCAGGGCCTATGTTCTTAGCCTTGGTGCCGCCACTCCAAGCCACCCTGGGACCCTCAGGAGCTCCCCCAGCAGACTCGCAAAGCTTCACCCCTGCAGAGC